AGCTTCGGCGCCAAAATTTTGCCGGTGGGTTCTCCGGCCAAGTGCCACTCCAGGACCGCGGCACCAATCTTCGCGCAAGGCTGGCCTCCGCGTACGAGAGGGTGAGAGTTTTGGCGGGAGAATCCTTAACTCAGGAACCAGAAAAGTTAGAAGGCTGACACTTTGAAGTTATATTCCCCGTCCGCATGGAATTCAAAAATTTCAAATTTAGCCCCCAGTCTTGCAAGGTGCCCGCGCATGACCTCTTGAGGGTTCCTGGCACGAAAATTGCTAACTGGAGGAAAGCTGGGAGGCTGAAATTTTCAGAGAATGTTCCAGTACATGTACAATTTGAAGTTATTGAGTTCAGCCACCCGGTTTGCGTGGTTCTCATGTATGGCCCCGTGGGAATTTTTGGCGGGAAATTGGCTAACAAAGCAACTAGGAAAGCCGGGAGGCTGGAATTTTCAGGGAATGTTCCCAGCACATATACAACAAAAATTTATCAGATTCAGCTTCCAGGTATGCGCGGTTTTCACGTACGGCCCAGTCAAATTTTTTGGAGGAAAAATGGCTAACTCGAGAAGTAGGAAAGCTGGGACTGAAATTTTAAGGAATTCATAAACAGTTTTTCTGGCTTTCCCAAAAATGAAAATTTGTAGATTTTCGACGAGTTTAATCAATTATGGCATTGCGTATAACATGGATGCACTGGCGGGCAGCGTGTACATAAATGTCGTAATTCTCGGCGCTGCTCGATGGGTCATAAATATTATTGCTTCTGTCCTGGATTACTCAATCAAGAGCATCGGCCGACGTCTGCTTCATCTCGTTTCCGCCGGATTCATTGTTGTTATCATGGCAATCATATTTGTTATCTACGTATTCACATGTGCGCTTTCCATTTTCACCCCTAACTGTAGATCGAATACCACGGTATCTTGGGATGCGGTATCGGTGAGACCGCCTACTCCCCTCTGTTGTAGCTCTGCGAATGTCCACACCTGCCGCCACTAGAGTTTTCTAAAAATCAGCTCCTGTTACTTCTCTCTAATGATATTTGGTACGCTTATAGAAGCTTAGGAATTAAGGGACCACGAAGACAATGTGAAAACAGTGGAGAAAATGTGAAATATTCTTTGTGAATGAAAGAAGAGGCGAAGCGGGCATCGGATCAGTTGGCTGACCACCAAGTGAAGCAACACCGGTCCAAATAATTATAGAGGGAAGGAATTTCGCTTACCTCCCTACCCAACTTTTCTTGACCATCTGACGAGCCGAACAGTTTCTGGAATGTTTTCGGTTGCTTAAAACTACTTTGATTACCCGACTAGAAGGCCTATTATGCCTAAAACTATTATCGTATTTATTTTTATTCAGACGACTCGAAATTATTAATTTTCAGGGCCAAAAATTAACGCATACAAGGCCGAAATAGAAGCCGGTGGCACAGGTATCGGTCCAGCCTCTTTCTGTGGGAAAATTTGAAATGTTTCCCAAAAGTTTTCCCACAAATGTGTCTTGTAAGAGCATGCTTATGCTTGCTGATGCAAGTGTTATGCGAATGAAAGAAAGAATCCTTAATTTAAAAGAAAGAGTCCTTAATTTAATTGTATCATTTTAGACTTTTTATTAGTACTTGCTGCACCACTCGAGCAGTTCTTTAGAACGCCACCTTTTCTGGAGGAGAGTGAATGCGAAGAAGATCTTGACTTAAAATTTCTACTAAATTTCAATTGCTGAAATTTCATTCCGCTTTGTTTTTTTTTTTTCTCATTTGCATCAGTAATGCAGCACAGAAACGCGGGCAAAATCAGACGTGTGTGCCTCAACATAATTCAACTCCAAAACAATGAGCTATGGACCTGAAATTTTGTGAGGAGAACCCGAGCATCCGCGCAAGGTCTCAGTCCTCAAATCAACTTGCTACTCTCTTCGTGTCCTTTTTTTGATTTTAGGTCCTAATTTGAGCAAGTTTCATAACCTCAAAACCAGAAAAGTTTACAATCTTGACATTCTGTGGAGAAGGTCCATGACCAAGTTACCCATACCCACACTCCACATAAAATAATTTCTACGCATTAATCCACAGCCTCATACCTAGATTCGTGTTAATTTTATGATCTGAAAATTCGTAAATTTTCTAGGTTTAATTTCTGACAACGCTAGTTGTTTGTGATGGTACTCCGGGCATCCTTCATTCACTTTTCGCTATAAAATTGAACGATTCAAAACAAAGCATTCTCAAAAATTGAATATCTGTTCTGCTTGCGCTCCCACATTCAGCAGCAAAAGCAACACTGATATTTCGGATGATTGTTAAATTATTCCTCCCATGCTTACTTTGTTTGTCCGCACACTGTTCCATCGAAGAATAAATAGTTCAGGAGATGCGAAGATCCACGTGGTTGTTATGTTCACTCGTTACGCTTGCC